ATCAGACAACTTCCGACGAAGAGTGTGTAGGCGATTACCGTGATATGAGTCGATATGCTCTAGTTCTATAGCTGTTCCGATTTCAGAAGTCGGGAATACTGTAATCTTTTACGTCTTATATTTATTCTGAAATATTTATGGTCGATAGTGAGCTATCTGTTTGCACTTGTGAGCGCTATCCTTAGTGAGAACGCTCTGATTCTAACGATCGTTTAAATATGAGAGTAAGAGATGAAGAAAAGAGAGTTGGGGACTCAAGAATCAATACTCTGAAAATAGTGAGGGTAGTCAGTAAATTGAGAATTGGCCTTGAGTACTATCGCATCAAAATTGGTGGGTCATTTGTGGATCAGGAAATGTGTTAAAGACATCATCCGTGATTCAAACTTGACCTAAGTTAAGTCAGTTTATATCCTACTAGATATATATATATATATATATAAATGTTCTGCTTTTGCTTGGAAACAACCTTCCCTCTACTTCAAGTTATTAACCCACTGATGGTAAATAAGTATTGCTTACCTTACTTCTTACGCGTATTGACTATCTTCCCAGACCCTCGTTTCTGTGCGTCGGTTAACCAAGTTCCTGGTGAACACGGAGTTAGATCCATCTTCTGTCAGCCATGAAGATACCCCAGGTGTTGCCGCAGTGATCGAAAACGGCACTCTCGCTTGGGCTCCAGATGCTGAACCTGCTCTTCAAAAGTACGCCCCCCCCCCCTCCTAATTTGAACTTTAATCCCACAGTATTGATGCCTATTTCTAAATTACAATTTTCTCTTCTCAGTATAACGGCCTATTTCCCTGAGGGTCAGTCAACGGCTATTGTTGGTCGTGTTGGCTGCGGAAAGACTAGCCTCCTCAACGCTCTACTGGGAAATATGGAACTTGTCTCCGGTCGTATTAACATTAAAGTACTGGTTATCTACTTAAGTAGATTTAAGTAGACTCTTGGAAAATAATTGCAAATAATTTTATGCTCGTTTTAGGGACGTCTTGCACTAGTATCTCAACAAGCCTGGATATTCAATGGCACTCTCCGTGACAATATTCTTTTTCACCGTCCTTATGACCCAGAGCGTTATTCTATGATCCTAAAGGCTTGCGCACTTGTACCTGATATTAAACTATTACCTGATGGAGATCAAACTGATATAGGTGATAAGGGTGTCAATCTCTCTGGTGGTCAAAAACAGCGTGTTAGGTAATTTAATTTAGTTAATTAA